GATTCCATCTAATTTTGCTGATTTTGCAACTCCTTATCACGTGGTTATCTTTACTGATACTGCTGTATCACTTGAAAATACCAATATATTCTCAAAAAATAAGAAGTGTTTAATTGGTAAGAAGGATTTTTGCTCTTTAAGACCATGTTTCAAGTTTGTTCCTATAAAAGCTCTTCAGTTTTAGTCTTTTTTACCTAACTCTTAAACAATCTCTGTTTCAGTTGTGATCAAATTCCAGAACCAGTCCCAGTGTCAAGTTCGAGGCCTCAGAGACGAGCAAAAACTTTGGCACTGGAGAAAACCCGAATGAATCTTTCCAGACTGTTAAATGAGGAAACAGATGAGTGAAGACAGGAGAGGTGCCTTTGTCAACACTGGTAGTTAACATCAGACTTGAAAATAAGATTTTTTTCCTGCTAGTCATATTTGCTCCTTTTATATGAATCATTTATAATTCTACATTTCTATATTATTTTTTTAAATAGATGCTTGTATTTCTTGTAATTCCTGATATAAAGTCCCTCATTCATGTAATAAAAATGGATTAAAATATTACCTGGACAAAACTTGGATGTTTTTTCTGTATAGAGAAGAATGCATCTTACCTGAAAATAGAAATTGCTGCTGGTGTTAAATATTCCATAATTAAAGCTGTTTTGATATTTAACAGTAGCAGTGGTTGCTTGTGATGGCAGCAATTTTGAATGTACCCACTTTTACAGCATCCACTTTCTTCATTTTTATAAGGTTTCATAACAGTAAAACCTGGTCAGCAGATAGTTACTTACTATTCATGTTAATGTAAAAGAGTTGATCTTAATTGGGAATTCTGCTTTCTGCAGGTGTGTGTCCACTTAATTAAACAATGTCAAAGTGGTAGAACTGAGTAACTGATTTTACAAACCATACTGAAATCTACTGATGCTGACTTTGTTATATAGAATCAGGGACGTGCTTTTCTAAAAGCATAAAAATACTTGTGGTACAAAATAAGATCTGGTAAGGAAAGGAGTATTTAAATAGGGAAGGGGCAAAAAATGAAATCTTCTAAGGTCAGTGTTGTGTCTTTTTTCAGTAGTATCCAGTTGTTAGTTCTTTGTAGCTCTGAAGTTCAGAAGGTGGGAATGGCCAGGAGCTGCAGAGGACAGCAGATGAGGCCGTGACCACTCCGCAGTCACCGTGGCTGAGCAGGGTCACTGGCAGCAGCAGCCGTGTCTGTGTCACAGTGGGGTCATTGCAGAGCAGTGGCAGCAGCTCACTCTACTGCTCCACATGCACGTCTCAGCTATTGATGCCAAATGCACACTTTAGGGAACTTGCATTTTAAACTGGTAAATATGCTATAAATGATCTTTGGTAATTCTTAGGAACGACTTAGGGACACAAGTGAAATTTAGTATTCCTAAAGTGTAATGCCCAAACTATTCTGCTGTTTCCAAGCTTGCATATAGGAAACAGAGGGATTGGAAACTCGTCAAACTGCAAAGTGCCATGACACACTTTTCTGCTGGTATTTGCTCTATTTAGAAGCTTCTGTAACTATGATGAATTAATTTTGTAATTTTAAACACAATCTTGACGTCTTGATCTCCGTCCTTTGGTAACTCTTTAAATCCCCAAATTGTGTTGTAGTATGAGTTTGTGTACGTGCAGCCACTTCAGATCAGAGATGCTTTCTGTCCCCTTGAATGCTGCCTGAACATAGTTGAAATGGGCAAAGTGTATAGTTGATTTTCTAAGTTACAAGAGCTTCCTTGGGGCTTTAGTTGTTGGGTTTTTTTTAAATTCAAGTTCTCTCTCATCCTTCCTCTCGAGTGGTTTGTTCTTTAAGCACTACTACACTGAGCAACTGGTGCTAGTCCACTCTTATTTTTTCTTAAAATGAATTTTGAGATAAAGCAGGAGCAAAAAAAAATCCATAAAAGCTTCTGGGCATGCCTTCCTGAATAAGACTTTAGTTTTGCCTTCTTGCTGTTCTGTTGTGCCTTGCCACATATACAGGTTCTGTCTCTGGCATCTCTTGGGAATGCTGGACTGAAAAGATGAGGTTTCCCTCAAGTCACCTCCCAGTCTGTGGATGCCTCTGCTGTGGATGTGGTTTCACTGGGGTGTGTTAGTAGAAAATAGACTTTGTCTAACTAGAGGCCTGTGGGGCTGGAGTTCCCAGTGGGAGAGGCCAAGGAAGCTGGGCCTGTTGAACCTGTGAATGTTGGGAGGATCCCCAGTTGCCTGCAAGGAGTCCAGTAAAAAGATAAAATTGGGCTTTTTGTTGCATATGATGAGAGGATTAAAAAAACTGGGCATAAATTGAAACTCAGACCAGAAGAGAAGGTGAAAAAGGCAGTGAAACAAGTTAAAAACTGCTGGAACAGGTTGCCTGTGCAGGTTCTGTCCTGGGAGTTATTAAGACAGGACGAGGTGTGAACTCCTCACAGCTGGCTGCCTTTGAGCAGGGTGTACAATTATGGACCTTCCTGATGTCCTTTTATGCCAGACTTACTCTGTGATCCTTTCAAGCCAGAAACTTGAGCAGTAACTGGCACTGCATTTCCAGCCCCTCTGGCTACATTGCCTGCCCAATTCCCTGTAAAGGGAAGGGTTTTCTGTGTAATACAAAATTTGATGTGTTCTTGAAAATTACGGGAGGGGTGGCTGCATCATTGCAGGGTGGGACAATCAGATGTGTGCTGTCTCTCAAAGTTCACTATCACTGATGATCAAAGTTTCAGTGTATACAGCTGACTTCCTGAGAAAGGCACATGGTAGCAAGAATACATCCAAAGGTAACAAGGAGCCAAGCTTGGAATTGTCATCCTTCTAATGAAAAACCTCTTTTCTTGGTATGCATTACTCCTTCGAGCTAAAATAATGCTGTTTTTTACTTTAATTCTATGTCTTAAAAGTACCTAACTTCCCAGCTTCGTAACTAAGGAATAAAATTTTATTCCTTGAATTTTATTCCTAAAATATTTTATTTAAAAACAGCCTCTTTATTGCTCTGGACCAACTACTGTGTGTCCTTCCTCTTTTTGCTGGCTAAACATGGCAGTGTGTGCAGTGTCAAACATGAACTAGACCTAGACTTGACTGCCTATTAAATAACAGTAAAATAGCAGTGGTCACTCATCAAACTTAGATCCCATGTTTATTCTCACACTAGTTTTTGTTTCTTTAATCCAATGTTGTGATTCTTGTTTGCTTGTATATTCAGTCTCTTCAGCCTATGCACTAAAGCAGCTTCTCTTGAGAACAGGCCTGTGGCCAGCTGCTCTCCAGGCTGAAGGACAGCAGGGGCTGGTGTGCTTGGGTTATGCCTGAAAACTCAAAGGAATAATAATAATAATAATTAATGATAATGATTTGTTAACAAAAACCAGGCTTCTGCTTGGAGCTGAGGGAGATATGATCACAGCAGCGAGGTGCTGGTATTGACTGGCTCTTTGGAATCAGAACATCCGTGTGCCGTCTCCTCGCCCGGGCACACGGACACAGGTCCAGCTGCTCCAGTGCTTGTAAGACTCCTGTGTCCTGCCTGCCTCCTGACCGACCCTGGTGCTTTGGGGGGCTCCACTGCAGTCAACTTCAGTTCCTCTCCCCTGCAAAGCTGAATTCTCCTTTTGGCTTTTTTGCCCCACAGAGTCCACGTGCATGTAACAGTTGAGATACATAAAGACCTTCTAAACAGCTCGAAACATGATGAATGTTTATTTTTTTTAATCACATTCTTTTAATCATGTCCAATGCTTCAGTGACTCAATACCCTCTTGGGTCTTGTGCCACCAGAATTCATAACAATCTCTTTATTTCAGTTACTGGATTGCACCTGCAAACCAACAAACCCCTGTAAAGAGGAAATGCAGCTTCATTTTTGTAAGGTGAATCCTTAAAACCTTTGTTTTATAAAATACAGTGTCTTCCAAGGAAATTTCCTTCTGGAAAATTAGTTCTTGTCAAGTAAAGGACAGACAACTCATCATGAACTAAGAAACCTCTACTCTAGCTACTGAATGTATGACTCCAGAAAAGAGAAGTATATTATATGGTTTTATTCTAACACTTTTTTTATAGCTGTATCAATAATAAAGTTTTGATGAACAAAGTACATGAACCTTGCTAAGATCATTTAAGCATGGAATGTCTACAATGTAGTCAGCTACAACCATTTACTACTTCTTTGAGTAGAGATAAAATTTCGATTTTACATTGAATTTCCAAAGTACAAGGAAAAAATGAAATAGGAAGAGCATTTACATCCATTTTAATTGGTGGCAGGCATAAATTCATAAAAACAAATGGGGAAGAAAGACCATTTAGCAGAAACCTCAAAAAGTGCAGTTACAGATTTGTTGAATGACAATCTTTCACGAGATTCTCCAGCAGGCTTGGTCTTTCTTTTAGACATTAGGGTCATTGAACACTGTCACACAGAAGTTCTCAAGGTAAGTGAAGATGAAAGCATACTGCAGAAACAAACTGGTGCTTCCATACATTTCATCCGTTGGTGAAGGAGATCTCCTCAGGTCATTTACCTTTGTACTGCTTTGCTTCGAGGTAGTCGGTCTCCACCTGTTACAGATTTGTTTGAATTATTACCATAAACCTTCACATGGTGACCTATGCCACAAATTACATAATATATTAACTTTCGTGCACAAAAATAAAATTGGGAAACCATAGTTAAATTTAAAGAACATAGAAAAATCACAATACTGTTAAAGGGGAACATCCGATTCTGATATAAATTTGAACTGCAAGAATTTCATGATGGTCAGATGTAAAACTTCATATTTAGAAAAGAAAAGTACATCAAACTGAATAATGCTAATAGTATATAAAGCCAAATCACACAAGATCATTTCAAGATCAATGTAATAAATGCTTATTATTTAGCAGAAAAGAAAAATCAGGAACAATGTACAAAATAATAGTGCAAGAACAGCTGCAATCTATTTGTTCTCATCAGTTTTGAGATTTTGGTTAAAAACTTTACAGCTGGCGAGAGATGCTGCTGAAAAACTCAGATTCCACTCAGTGGGCTGATTAAGGCACATCTTTATGGACTTCAAATGTTCATTTTCTGTGTTCATGTCTATTGAATTCTGCGGCTCCGAGACTTTCACTTGTAGCGTGCTGTGAGAAAAGAAGTGGGGGTAGGAGAGGGAAAAAAAATGAGAAAAATTTTAGTACACTTTCCTCTTGCCCTGCAAACAAGCTGATAAGAGGCAAGATGAGGTGCTGGCAGATCCTGTATTCTGCTGGATTTCTGTTGTTGTTTTAGTGCAAGATGTTCCAGAAACACCGAGATTAGAACCTGACTGTGCTGTGCTGTGCAGCAGATTGGGCTGGGCTGTGTGGGGATGCCTGAGCCCTGTCCATTGGCAGTGTCAGTGCCAGGGCAGTCTCCTGCTCACGCTGCTCCTTTGCAGGAGGTGCAGGAACAGCTGCTCTTGCTTCAATCAGCTCCAGCTGACTGCTGTAAAGGCACAGAGCAGGAACTGGGCAAGAGTTTGGGGCTTGTTTTTATTGCTGGCTGCTAATTTACTGCAGCCATGGAAGGACTCACATATAGATGGCATTTTGTTTTAAATTTAGGGGAAGAAGTAACACAGGAAGAGAAAAAAAGCCAGTCCTTTGTGGGGGTCACTAAGCAGACTAGGACAGATGTGTGGATTGAATTGTCAAACAGTTGGGTTGGAAGACACCTTTAAAGGTCATCTACTCTAACCCCCTGCAAAGACAGGGACATCTTCAACTAGATCAGGTTGCTCAGAGCCCCATCCATCCTGATCCTGAATGTTTCCAGGGATAGACAGCCAACATCTGTTTGGACAACCTGTTTCAGTGTTTCACCATCCTCATCATCAAAAATGTCTTCCTTAATATAAAAAGCACTCAGAAGTGATTTAAGATATAAAACACACTCAGAAAACAATTTCAATCCTCATGTCAAACCTCTTCCTCCCTTTTATTTTAGTCTACCTCCTGCAGTGATTTGTCCCCCGTGTGTGATACAGTGTTTCTCAGCATCCTTTTCAAAGTTTTTGAGAACTTCTAGAATGACAAAGTTGAAAATATTTCTGAGGTACTAAAACTAATGTTCTAAGTACTGTAATTAAGGGTAGGAGGTAATCACCATGCTAAAACCTATCTGAACTATCGAACCTATCTTGGATAGTTTCCTATCCAAGGGGTATTTAAATAGCAGAAACAGCTTTTACTTGCATTTCAGGAAAAGAGGTTCATTACAGAACTCATTCTGAAGGATGGAATGTGCTGCAGTGTAGTGCTCACATGCACAGAGTAGCTGAGGCCAGTCAGTCAGTGTAGGACTACAGCCTAAAACACTGGCTTGTGTTACTGAAATACCAATGACTGACTTGGATTAAAACATTTCCTATGTCACAGCAAAAGGGAAAGACCTTAGGCAACAGCTAGAATGAGAATTCACTGTTGTTTGTCACAGATATCAGAAACAGTTTTAATTCTTTCACATTTTAATATCTGCACCCCTCAAGGCTGTGTGCCTTGCTGACATGGCAGTGAAACAGAAATTTCACATTTCCTAACACTCGTTCCCAACCCTCCCCAAACTGGTGCACTGCCCCCATGCTCTGCATGTCCTGGTGTCATTATTCAGCCTCTATCTTTTGTCTTGTTTTGCCTTGCACCCTTTTCCTCTGGTTGCTCTGATCTTTTCCTTCCTGCAGGAAAAGGAGTGCAGGTGTAGATGATGGACAGGACTTCAGTCAGCAAGGTTACTTTCTTGAGTTTACAACCTCTTCAGACTTGGATCTTTGCCCTCAGGAAGTCAAAGGCTTTTCTTATGACATGGGATTAAGTGCATGTGGAAGATGGTGTTAAGGCTTCAGTTAGCAGCTTTCTTTACCCCTAATGAATTTGTGCTTTTCAGGCAGGGCCATGTAGCAAAACACAACTTCCCAACAGCTAAATGAAGGATAGGGCAGGAATGTTTTGGTTTGGTTTTTTTTTAAGAGTTGGGGTGGTTTGGGTTTTGGTTTTTTTTGGTGGTGCAGGTATATACCTGCAAAGTACTTTAAACCCCAGCATTTCTACTGTCTTTAAAGCAGTAGACAGATAAACTGTGTTGAATGTTGGGCAAGTGCCAGACAGAAAAAGCCAAAGGTTTTTTGTTGGTTTGACCTGGCACATTCCTTCAGCAGATCAACTGGGAATTGCACCAAGCTGCCAAGGGCCATTTTCCAAACTACACTGCTGGTGGTAACAGTGAATCCTAGATTTGGTGCAACTGTGGCCATCGTTCCTTCTCATCTGCTTGGACTACAAATGAAAATGCTGAGTGCTATTATAGCACCAAACAGCCCTTTTCCAAGGACTCTGCTCTGTCAGAAACTGTCCTACTCTTCATATTTTAGGTTTGTACAGGTTTCTGTACAAAGTGCAAAACTTTGCTTTTTAAATAAATGCATAAAAACAGGAATAGAAAAATGTTAATTTTTTCCCCCCAGTTCCTCAGTGTGGGTAACATCAACACAAAAAGTGAAAGTATTTTAGAAAATTTTACCTTAATAAAAATTAAGTGGAAAATATTATGGTTAGAGATCTGCTTTAATATATTTGTTAACCAATAAGAACCTAATCTTTCATCTTGCTTTTCATTCCTTTACCTGTAGTGATTTCTTTTCCAGCTGTTGATGTAACAAGGTAAAAAATGGTGTATTTAAATATTTTTAAATCAGAGAATGTAATTAAAGGGATAAAGTCAAACAGAAGCAGTTGAATTTTTCCAGCCAAATCCATCAATAGATTCTACTCTACATTTTATTCCCCTCTACTTGCACAAGCTCCACAGTGCATAAAGCATTCCTAGTAAGATGTTACACACAGCCTGATGGTCCCAGAAGCCATGGAGCCTATTTCAGGAGAGCCTGGAAGAGTATCCCCACTTTACAGCCCCTGGAGCTCTGCACTACCAACACTCACACCAGCAAGAAGATGGAGTTTCCTTTAATTCCCTAAACAACAGGCATATACTGACCTTACAGAATGGTCTCTAAAAAGGTTCAAATTCCCAATTAGTATGCCATGTGTTTACCATGCCTGCAATTATCATCTATTTTGGTTTTATTCACCTGGGACTGACTCAGTTAATCAGTTTCCGTGCATGTGATTTGTGGAAGTCAGCTACAGGTGTTTCTGTGACATGGAACATCATAAACTCCAGCCATGGCATAGCCAATAGCTCTGTTTTCACTGGGGAATTTGAAGACAGGACAACAGTGCTGAAATCCCAGTGAAAAAGGTGAAAACCAGCTTCATTTTTTTCACAATTTGTACAACAAATTAGTGAGATGTCTTGAAAACTCACATTTTTTTTTCTTCATCTTAAATTATACTACCCTTTCCTAGCCCTTTTCTCTAAATAGTCTTGAAGTGCTGGTAACATATTTACTGCTTAATTGAAAAGATTTTATATTTCACCATGTATAATACCTGATCCATATAATTCTTGTCTCTTCCTAGAAAGTAAACAGAAAAAAAAAGGCACATGGAAATGTGACTATACTTTTTGATCTGAAACAAGAGCAATCTGAAAAAATGCCTTGGGGAGGCAAATTCAGCAGCCCCTCAGCAGGTGCTCTGCCATGGCTCAGTGCAAGGGACCTTCCCCAGAGGCATGTGAAGCCCAGGGGTGGCACTGAGGCCATGGCACAGCACACTGTGCACGGTGGCAGGAGCAGGACACGCTGCTGGCTCCTGGGAACGGCCTCCCCTGCTCCAGGCTGCCTTTGGCAGCTGCCAAACCAATGGGGCTGGGACAGTCAGCGAGGGCTTCAGGATGGTTTTGTGTGTGCTGGAACTCCCAGCTCCCCCACCACCATTACTGAATTTACCATCCTTGAACAGTGCTGCAGAAAGGATGGATTGCCTGTGTTGTTCTAACAAATCACCCCTGTGTTACTCTAACTCAGATCAGATCAGAGTAACATCGATGGACTCTCAGGTGCCCTCTGGTCTCCTTGGCTAAGCAGAGAACCCTGTGTGTAGTTAAGTTTCCAGGCCTGCTGGGGCCTAAAGGGATCATCTCTCCCCACAAAAATTTCCTCCTATCATTAAATTAAAAAGAAAGGTTTGAATTCAACCTTCTACTAAAGTAAGCAGTGAGAGGCCTCCCCATGCTCCTAAGGGCTAAAGAAAAACTTGTTCTTTTCCACACTTCCTGTTAAAACTGCCTCAATACAACTTTTTTTTTTTTTAATTCAAATTTCTTTCTTTAGTTTTACCCAAACCATCATTATACTGTTATAAATACTGATTTTTAATGGCAGGATGGGAGAGCAACACCAGAAAATTTGAGGCTGCCAAGTACAAAAGGAAAATAATATTCTTTCAACTGCTTATTTTCTCTGCAGTTTGGAGCCACATTCTTCTGGAAAAACAGGATATTTGACACCTGTTGTTGTTGTATGAAAATGATAAAAAATATCTGGCTAGCTCAACTCCATATATTTGCTGAGTTAATCTGTCACATGTTGAAAAAAAGTAGGAAAAAGAAAAAGTAGGAATGGGTAAAAATATCTCTTATCTGTTAGGTCAGTCCTCAACATTTCCCATCAGAGATTGCCATCAATGCTGTGTGCTCGTGTGCTGTAAAACAGCTATGAAAGCATCACTGCAGGGCTGTGTTTCTCTAAGTCTTTTGCAACACCTAGAGATAAAAACATCTCCTTCCCCACTATTTGGGAGCAAGGTCAAAGTGGCTCTTACCCTCCTGTCTGACAGAAATTCTGCAAAGTGCACTTGTTAAACACTGCCAGCAGAGATTGCAGACTGGCAGCTTGGAAAGCATAAGAGCATCTGTGACATACAGCACTGACTCGGGGCTTTTACAGAAAGGTTTCAAAAACACTGAGTAGAAACAGTAAAACTTCAGCAGAACTTAAAAAAAAATGTTCTCTGTACAAACCCTGCTCAAACAATTTCTCAAAAAAGGAACCAGTGGAATACACTAGATTAAAATCTACACTGACTAGAGTAGCCTCAGTATGACTTCCAGCAGAGACTGATTTGGTAATGTAATATATATTGAAAAGACAGTAAACCAAGCATGCACAGGCTGACTGACTGTGTCTAAAATTTAAACTCATTTT